GAGACCCCAACCAAAAAAAAAAAAAAAAAAAAATGCATAACATATTTTAGAATATCTCCTTCTCTCTAGACTTTTAAAACTATTAAGAAAAGAGGTGAGAAAGTAAATTTACTATGACTTTAAGAGTTTCTTGAAAAAATAAAAAACTTATAATCATTGCATAAATTAGTTAGAATTAACAAATATACATACTTTCATATGTATATACACACATTTATGGTTTACTATTTCTTTTTTTTTAGTTGGAGTCTCACTCTTTCACCCAGGATAGAGTGCAATGGCCACCCCCAGCATCGACCTGCTAGGCTCAGGCACTCCTTCTGCCTCAGTCTTCCAAGAAGCCATACCTGCAGGACTGCGCTACCACGCCTGGCCAATTTTTTGATTTATTGTAGAGATAAGGTCTCACCAAGTTGCCCAGGCTGTTTGAGAACCCGTGGGCTCAGGCAATCCCCTCACCACAGCCTCCCAAATTGCTGAGATTACAGGCTTGAGCCACCGCACCCAGACACTATTTCTATTTAATAAGCTATCTTTAGGCAAGGTCAACATCCAATCAGATCACATAGGCCCAGAGATTTATATACTGATTTAAGGCAGAATGCTTAATTTTATTGTGTCCACATTTTTGAATGTAAAGAATAATATGACAGTTCTTTATACAAAACATTAGGAAAGATTAATAGTCTTTCTTTTCATCTGTGACAATATTTTTTAGTGTTACTCAATTAAACATACCTTAAATCATTATTGAGAAGTTAGTGGGTTCAAACAGGTCTAAGACACAGTGATGAACTGGTTTGTCTTCTTTTTATGACATGAAATTAAGAAAAAAATAAATCAATTCAGAAGAAATAAAGATTTATTCTAGTTGCCTAGTTTTCTTGTAGATGCCTGGATTGTAGGCTTTCAGGGATAATTTAAAAGCTTAATTTTACATTATTTCATTCAGTGGTCCAAAGCCACTTGAAATGCCTTAAGCACCAAATGAGTGATAATTTAAATATCACCAAGTCTTGAATATATGGGAACAGCATGACTATTAAAAACTTCCTTGTGTCTTTTCAACTAATAATATAATCAAATATATATCTGGATGATCTTCCCAAAAGTATTTTGCCCTGTGAGTTACAGCATCAATCAGACTTGGTCTAAAAAAGAAAATGTAAATGTGCTTTGGTGATCCCATCAACTAGGCTTTCTTCCATTCCATAAAGAACTCATCACTAACAATTAAAATGTAAGCAAAAGATCATTAAATAAGCAAATCTCATACTTATCTAAGATTTATCTCTAAAAACAGTTAATTGCTTAAAAGTGTTGATAAATAGGTATGTCTAGAAACTGTCAAATATTGAAACAATTAATCAAGTTTTAATTT